CAACGAATCAACTGTCTCTCTCTCATTCTCTTAGTGAATGACGGTCCCTTTCTTTCTCCTTCTCCAATAAGTCTGAAATCTCTCAGTCAGAAATCTCTTCGAAAATCTCTTCGACGATCTCTTTCTCCTTCTCTCAGGTAACTTCTAACTCCGCATGACATTTTATGTTTTTGATTTATTTCGGGGTAAAACCCTTGATATAGGGGGTTTAAGAGGAAAAAAATCCTCAGAAAAAACACAACTAGGGGGAAAACAATCCTATAAATTGAAATCGTTTGGTATAACAGTGCCGAACAAAATATTACTATTTGAAACCCATCCACCGAACTAAATATTTATGTTCAGCATTATATTATTGAACAAAACCTTAATAGTTGGCAAACTAGTACCAAACAAACTCAAACAAAACAGCAACCATCGAAAACAATTAAGAATCATTAAAAAACCTTGGGTGAAACGCCACAAATCAATCCACTACTGAAGAAAGAAAGATTACAAAGATACCAAACAAATTACCCAAACTCTTCCAATTTGTCTTCAAATATTCTGTATATCTTTCACCACAACCTTGGTCTCGGAATTGATTAGACTGATGTTGAATCCAGAACATCCATTGTCGAATCAACGACTGCACATGGCATCAAACTCCTTCTATTACTCTGTGCTTGAATCTTCGGAATCCACCAAAGAAGAATACTCTTAAAGAAGATCAAACAAACTCCTTGATGTGTGCTTATCAGATCATGAGTTCAATACTCAACCAAACATCAAGGAAAACCAGCAAACAAGCCCTGAAACAAAACCCTAGAGCTCCCAAAATAGATCTAGGAGTCTTAACCCTAAAAAAGGACATAAACACATATATATATAAAACAGGGGCCATGTACCCCGCTCGAACGGAGTCACTAAAACGCGTGCGACTATACAAGTCTCACGCTCGAGCGCTAGAACACACGCTCGAGTGCGAAAACACACTTCCCAGTATTTGTGCAGACAAGCCCAACTACTGAGATAGTGCAAACACTGCTTGAGCGCAAATGTTCCCGCCCGAGCGGGAAGATCAAATCAAAGGCAAAAATTACAACTCTATTAAATCGAGTTTGTTCGCAGAATTGGCAACTAGAGACCTAATAGTTGTGATGCAACGGCCAGCTTCCCCTTGCCAAACATGACATGTAGGAATAGATGGTATGTAAATAGGACACGTAGGTTGGGAGTTAGAGTCGAAAATGCCTTAAACTTAGTCAAAAAAAGGCGTTCGAGGGGCGAAAATACAAAACAGCCCCCCAACCAATGTTGTGATATAACGGCCAGCTTCCACATGCCAAATATGACCTTTAGGAACAGTTATTTGCATTTATAATGGTTGTTACAAGTGTTTTCTCTATTTTTGTCCTGTGTTTGTTATTTCCTGACTAGCTTTCTTTATTTAATTCACAGTTATTAAATTATCTTTTTTCATTGCGGCTTGGTTTTAGAGAAAGTCTAACAGCTTCATTGGTGGTTCCCTTGAAATCAACATTTATCTTTAGAGGGACACTTACCATAATCTCATCCTCTTTGTTATGGTTTCTAGAAACTGGTAGTTTCATGATTTGTTTCCTGATCTCTTTTTATTTAATTTGTAGGTGTACATTAAAATGTTGATTTTTCCCGCATTGTTCCTCTTTTTTTTTTTCTTTTTTTTTTTTTATTATGGTTCCTTTTTTTAATTAATTTATTTTTTATTATGAGAAAAAATATGATTGTGATTCTTTACAGTATGTTTTGATTATACAATGATTGTATTTTTAAACTGATTTTGTTTTTTTACACTCAATTTTAATCACATGTTGAGAAAAAAAATTACAATTGGATTTTTTAACTTACTGTGCTTTTTTGGGAAAAAAAATAATTGTGTTTTTCAAGTCTATATATTATCTATCTATCTACCTATCTATATATTATATAAGAAAAAGAAAATAAATAATTGTAATTTTTAACTATCGTGTTTAGATGGATAACAAAGTAAAACACGTGAGAGATGGATATGAGCGTGATTTTTTTTTCTTTTTGTATTTTAAGTGACATTCTTAATATTATAAATATTAAAATTATGATTGTGTTTTTTAACTAACTGTGTTTTTTTACATTCCGTTTTGATAAGACCGTGAGTGAAAAAAATGTGATTGTGTTTTTTAACTGATTGTGTTTTTTGAAAAAAGAAAATAACCGATTGTATTTTTTAACTATCATGTTTGGACGGATAACAAAGTAGAAAACGTGAGAGACATTTTTTTTTTTCTTTTTGTATTTTAAGTGACAATCTTAATATTTTACAATATTGATTGCTTTTGTTTTCATCTATTCTCTGGGTGTTGAAGATTTATACTTCCTTTTGATCAGACGGTGAGAAAAAACAAATTTGTGATTTCTCATTTAATTGAAAAAAGAAAATAACTGATTATATTTTCTTCTATATACATGGTATAAAACTGTTGATTTATCTAATTATTTTTTGTAATTTCAGAATTTATAGATAGAAAATAATAATAATAATAATAATAATAAATTAACCATATCTAAATTGCATCTAATTTGAGATTTAAAAAAAGAGTCAAAATAAAATTTATTTATTTGTAATTTAAAAGTATTGAAATAGAAAATATGAATGAAATTTTTTGCTATATATAATTGGACAAATTTTAACATAGAATATAATAAAATTGAAAAACTTATAGGACAACATGTATTTTTATTTTATCATAAATTAGCATATCACCTGTGCTATGTACGGGTTAAATTTTTTTTAAAAATTAAATAATAATATAAAATTTATTTAAAATGTATAGAAAAATAATTTAGAATGATTTAAATTTTAACCATTTCATTAGAATATATATATATATATATTGCAATTGTTATGTCATTAATTGTATATTTTAAATTCTCAATAAGAAATAGATGTCATAATTTAATTGGTAAAGATAGAAAAAAATAGAAAAAATTACAAAACTTATATTTATAATAAAATAAAAATACATGTTGTTCTATAAGTTTTGTAATTTTTTCTCTTTTTCTATCTTTACTAATTAAATTATTACATATGTTTCTTATTGAGAATTTAAAATATATAATTAATGACATAACAACTGCAATATATATATATATATATATATATGTTCTAATGAAATAGTTAAAATTTAAATCATTCTAAATCATTTTTCTATATATTTTAAATAAATTTTCCATTATTATTTAATTAAAAAAATTTACACTGTGTATATAGTACAGGTGATATGCTAATTATTATAAAAACAAATTATATATCAATATGATTTATTTTAGTTTTTGGAAAAGGACACTATAACAAAGAGTGATCAAGTGAAGCCAAGATACACATTGTAATAAGTCTTTGTTTTTGTCTCTCTCGTTGAATATCATGCCACCCAAAGCGAAGACGCACTTTTCCAATTTCTTCTGCATTAGGTTAGGTCCACCCGCTACCAAACTTTTCCACGCCTCATCCTTCTTAACCAATCTTCCAAACACTCCCTCTCTTCTTCACTACCCTCACAGTCAGAGACCCAAACCCCCATCAAATGAATTTCCAAAACCTTCCATGGCTTCCATTCCTTCCTTTCCTTTCCTTATTTAGCTTTTTAGGCTTTTTGGTGGCTTTTTTGGTTTAAAAAACTGATTTTTTTGTAACTTTTTTTATGTAAAAAAGCTAAAAAACTAAAAAATTGACTTTTTAGTTTCCAAATTGCCCCTGAATCCTAAAAAGGAAGTGGAATACAAAATAGAGGACAAAGAAGACGTTCGGACTATTGGGTTAAATAGGCTAATTTGATTAGAATTTTTCTTCATATTCCTGAATCAATCCAAATATAAATATGATATACAATCGCAAGAGATTGATAATACTAATCTCATTTAATACAATCTGTCCAAACAAACATTGCTTAATTGGTTTTGAGGGGCCAAATAAAAAAAATTTAAATCTATTTAGGTGATATGAACAATTCAACTTTTAATTCTTCCCAAATAAATCATTTATATAAAAAATCAAATACCAACATACATCAGTATCACTAAATAATTTCCCTCCTATCGCACTATAATTCATTTTAAAAAATTATTATTGTGACAAAAAAGAAATGATTTGAAAGGATGAAGGAAAAACAGAAGATATCTAGCATTAGGGGTTTTTTGGTTTTGAGTTTGGTTAAAAAATTATAAAAGGATAAAAAAAGTTAAAAAATCACAAAAAGATAAAAATTACAAAAAGATAAAAAAAAATTACCATTTCAAAATTAAAAAGTCAAAAAAATTAAACAAAAATATTAAACGATTAAAAAAAATTTAGGCTAAAAGAATTAAAAAAACAAATAACCAACTAAAAACAGTCATTATCAAACGAGTATTTAATGGTAGGAGTAAAACAAAGACATCAGTAACAAAAATTTCATTAAATTAATGGGATCCTCGTGGGCCCCACCAGAAAAGCAAACACGGGTCAAGAAGACTCGGGTCACGTCTCTATAAAGGAGTTTTCTTAAGTGTGTAAGTGCACACCATGTGCCACTTACACAAAAAGTGTAAGTGTAAGGTGTAAGTATAAGTGTAAGGTGTAGGTGTAAGTGTAAGGTGTAAGGTGTAAGTGGGTTGCACATGGTGTGCAACCTCAAAAAAGGTGTAAGTGTAACGTTTAATTTTTTATAAAAGGTGTAAGTGTAAGGTGTAAGTGTAAGGTATAAGGTGTAAGTTGCACACCATAACCAAACCCCTCTATAAATTATGCACCCATTTCATTTCATTCCATCCCATAGTATCCATTTCTCTGGTTTTCTCTAATGGAAAATACTTCGGACCCCTAGTGAGGTGGTGCGCTTTGATTGGATAAAAAAAAAACTGTTTTATTTTTTTTTTTTTTTTTTTGAGTTTCAACTAGTGGGGGCTCGCCACCTCACTGGGGGTCTGTAGCATGGTTGTTCTCTAATATTGTTTTTGTAGTGGTGGTGGTGAGTTGAAGATGAAGAAACGCTCTTATATTGTGGTGGTAGTAATGGTGATAGTGATGGCAGTGCTTTTAGGAGAAGCGTCTGTGGCAGAGGCGGTGACGTGCAGTCCCCTGGAGCTGAGCCCATGTGTGGGGGCGATCACATCATCGCAGCCACCGTCAAGGACTTGCTGTGACAAGGTAAGGGAGCAGAGGCCATGCCTTTGTGGGTACCTCAAGGACCCTAATCTCAGGCAGTATGTCAACTCTCCCAATTCTAGAAGGGTTGCTAGCACTTGTGGTGTTCCTACACCCACTTGCTAAGATGGAGGATATACTGGAATTTTTATATTATTATATAATTATCGGTTTCTTTTTTAGTTATTTTTCGTTTAATATAGGTAATTTTCATATTTTTAATATTTTTATTACTATTTTTTATTTTATTTTATTTTTTTGAGGCGGCACCACACCATCTCAAAAAAACATAAGAACCAGATTTTTTTTGCGACGTCAGTATTGTCGTCGCAAAAGATATTGCCAATAGTTGGAAAAAAATCTTTCGTGACACTCTTGTTTGCTGTCACAAATAATATTTAGCGACGGCGTGTCGGTGCTGTCTCAATAACTTTTAGCGATGGCAAGTACCCCAGTCGCAAATAACACTTTTAGCGACGGCAACACAGTGCCGTTTAAAAAAATCTCAGATTTTTACATATTATTGCCGACAACATGATTCTGTCACAAAAAAGGCAACTTGCCGTCGCAAAAAAAAAGGCGACGTCACTTTGCCGTCCCAAAAAACTTTTAGCAACGCCCTTTGTTACGACCCCCCCTTGCCGTCGCTAAAAGTCAGTTGCCATCGCAAAAAGTCAAATTTTTTGTAATGTAAACATAAAAAAGATCAAACTTTGTGGTTGAGTTTATATGTTAAACATATAAGGACTTTCCTAGAGGTAATTAAATAAAGAAGCAATAGAACAAAACATAATATGTATTAATTTGAATAAATTGTCACTTGTCACCAGTTACAAGAACTTAAACAAAAACAAAAGATTGAATAAATACAACAATCGACATAAAGAAGAGAAATGAGGGTGGGAAAACTATCACTTAATCTACTTCTAAAAATGGCTAACTTAAACTATTCTTAAATAATTCTTCACGATTTGTGAGTGGTTGATGATGATTGATTGATGCCTCTTTATATCTCTCTTGGCCTATTTATAGGCTCAGTCACATGAGAGAAAGAGATAATCCAAGTCCACGATTTTCTCAACAAGCCCATGATTTCCTCAACAGTATCTATATCCCGTGTTTGATAGGAACTATTTTGTAAATTTGGTGCTTGATTTGATCTTGGCTCATTGATCTCAACAACTATTTTCAAATTGCTACAATTGCTAACCTTCTGGTTCTCCATTTAACATGTTATCATGCCACATACTTAACACATCTGTCATGCTACATTACATGCATGTCAACAGAAATAACAGCAATAAAAACAAATGTGGTCAAGATTATTCTTTGAAAATAGTTTATAATTTCAATCGACAAATCATAATCAAACTTGGTCATAATTAATAAGCTAAAATCGATAGAAAAATAAAATGAGGTGCAAACAGAGGGGTATGTGATCTTTTGTCTTACATTCGTACGTCTTTGCCTCAATTCAAAAATGCTTGTATAGTTATTTAATCACATCTTGAAATTTTTGTATTTCAAAATTTTACTTGATTTAATGATTATAATTATTTTAAAACAAGAAAACAGAGAGAGGGTCTTTGGTAATGAATCTCTATTGGGGTTTTTCTTTCCCATTTTAAAAGTTTTTTTTATATTAATTATGTGTTGTATATGATTTTCATTATTACCATTATAATTTATTAAATTTCATTGTGATATCAATATGATTCAAATAAAAAAAAATGTAGTCCACATATTCACCAATATTGTGCACATGAGCTAAGAATATTGTTGAGCAAAATGAGACAAACTCAGGGCAATAACATCTATGAGCTAATTTTGGGTTCCCAGACCGAATATATATATATATATATAATTATCCTTAATTTTATTTTACTCCTTTCATCATCGAAGAGTCAAGGGAGGTAACACATATTTATATACTCAGTGGGGTCACATTTTATATTAGGCATACTTTGTCATCACTGTCTTCCAATACTCTCTCTTTTGATGCTGAGTTTCAAAATATTTTGAATTAAGTCTTCATACTTTTATACCTTAAAAATTTTCATATGATTTAATGGTTATAAATGTTTTAAAACAGAGAGATTTAATTTTGTACACAGCTTAATTCATTTTTCGATGAATCAAATTTTTAGACAGAAATTTTTTGTTTTTATTTTTAGGACATGCATTGAATTAAATCAGTTCAATGCATTAAGCAAAATGGGCCAAACTCAGGGCAGAATCTATGGGCTAATTTTGGGCTTTGCATCCCATATGGTCCTTTGTCTCCAATGGCTGATTGTATTTACACACATATAATTACTCACTACATCTAATTAAAATTTTAAAATTTTAATTTTTATTAAATTTATCATTAATATAACATACATTAAACTCTTTTCATCTTTCATAGTATAATATACATTAAGTATAATAAAATACTATTTTTTATTTCATATTATACCCAAATCATTTATGTATATTATTCATATTCAACTCTTTTCATCTTTTTCTCCAAATTTCAATTATTTTATCTCCATCTTTTTTCTCACTCCAAAACTCAAATTCACCTCACCAAAACTTACAATTATTATCAACATCAATAGTGAGAAATTTTAACAGTAAATTGCCATTAGTAATCAGCGGTGCATATGTACATCATTCTGATTACATTGCAATGTCGGTAATCAGGGCCATGGTGTTTTATTTATTAGCAAACTATGGTAGTCCCTGGTTAATAGCTACTTAAAAATTGATTTGGCTCCTATGTAACTTAAGCATAATTGTCACATGCCTGACTGGGTAACTTCTCTAGGGCACTCTCACTGCAATCAGGGACTAGTAAAGCTTGCCACAACTCAACAGTGGCAGTTATCACATTCTTTTCAAAATGAATTTCTCTTTCAATTGATTCTATTTTTCTTTCATAACCGCCTATATTTGCACCAGTGATGGGGGTTTAGGTTTGCCGATGTCGTTCTCTTTTGCCAGTGTCGTTGTTCCTTATATGTGAACAAAAGCAATAGATGTAATGAAAAATCTATTTAAGGGTTTTTTAAAGTGATATAATTTGAAATTTTTAATTTGTTAATTATTTAGGTATACCTTGAAGGGTAATTTAGGAAAAACAATAAGATGTATTGCGACTAAGGCCTAGTTTGGGAAGACTAAATAAATGCACTTTTTGACTTTTTATGAAATATGGGTTGGGTTTGGGTTGGGTTTGAAGTGATGTGTTAGAGAGGTGATGTGACTTAAATAAGATGATGTGACTTAAATAGGATAGTGACTTTTTGACTTTTTGTCTTTTTGCCTTTTTTTAATCATGCCAAACTTGGCCTAAATTATAATTTTAAATAATTTAATAAAGTATACTAAAAAATTTGACGACTTAATGATTTTTTAAGTGCAAATAGAATCCCCCTTCTCCAATGCCCAAAAGATTCAAAGCAAAAAAAAAAAAAAAAACAGTAACTCTAAAGTCTTTCCAAAATCCATGAATCAAAAGGCTAGTAACTTATAATTATATCCACTTTCTCCATTATTATTATTTTGGGTCCAATTCACTCCTAATTATAAGAAGGTATCTCAATTTGAGATTTTGACAAATTCTACAATTGATAATGCATTGAAAAATTGACCAAATCTATTGTGTGTGGGTCGGGTGAACTTCAACTTTTCATAGAGCTCCTCTCTCTAAAATGAGAGCTTCTCTCTCTTAAATGAGAGTTTCTCTACTTGCATCGTCACTTTCTAGGGTTTATCTCTTCCTCTTGGTTTTTGTGCTTTCAGCTCTAGGCTCTTCCTTGTCGGTTTCTCTTATTCCTTTGACTTTCTTTTCTTCTTGGTAGTTGTGCCTTCTTTGGCCTATTTGATGGAGAGCCTTGCCTTACTCGAGGGAGCTGATGAAACTGCGATGTGTCTGAAAGGTGTTTGGTGGGCAAAATCCTTGCTCCCAAAAATTTGAATAAACAAGCAGTTACTAATATCATCCACATTGCGTGGAAAACTCGAGCCTCGGTAAGAATCTCGCCTTGGAACGAAAATGTTTACCTCTTTCAGTTTGATGAACTTGAAGATCGTAGGGGAGTCCTTGAGGATGCCCCCTGGTCGGTTATGGGGAGTCTCCTTGTCCTTCAACCTCTTCAGTCCGGAATGGTCACGTCGGAGTTGGAGTTTCGATGGTGCCCTTTTTGGGTTCAAGTTCATGGTCTACCGATCGCGAAGTTAACCAGAGGTCACGGCGAAACTATTGGTAGACGCCTTGGGAGACTCGTCCGAATGGAGGCCCATTCGGAAGGACTCCTCTTACAACGTAACTTTTTGAGGATCCGGGTTGAGATTGATATAACTAAGCCGCTGTTACAAAGCTTCATCTTCCATCGCAGAGAGAAGGAGGAGGCCCCAGGAGGTGCTGGTCTCACAGTACTCTACAAATATGAGAAGCTATCGGAGTTCTGCTATGATTGCGGCCGGATTGGTCATGATCGCAATGCCTGTAAGTTTGTATCTCTGGGTGAGGGTATTAACTCGGGCTATGGTCCTCACATGCGAACGACTGCAGCTCGGAGTTTGGGGTCTCCGTTTGCTCCTACCCAGCGGCAGGTCGACACTGCTGAAATGCGTGCACAACCACAGTTACAGCCCAACAAGGAGGTGGCAGAGTAGAGGGCGGCGCGTGCTGGAATAGCGTGTGCAACACAGCTAGGGGTGACTGACCAGCTAGCCCCTGCTGTGTCTATACGACCAAGTAGTGGGGCTCCGTTTGCTCCTACCCAGCGGCAGGTCGACACTGCTGAAATGCGTGCACAACCACAGTTACAGCCCAACAAGGAGGTGGCAGAGTAGAGGGCGGCGCGTGCTGGAATAGCGTGTGCAACACAGCTAGGGGTGACTGACCAGCTAGTACATCAGTATTTTACACGACCAAGTAGTGGGGTTCTACCACGTTGTACGTCTGACATAGTGGGCGCACCTAGAGGGGCAGGGACGCGTGCTACATCCCCTACCCTAGAATCTTCTGCGGAGCCAGCAATCTATACAACTCTAGGAGGCCAACTAGATGGGTCTGGGCTAAGAGCGATGGGAGAGATAGCCCACCCTTTTGGGCCCCAAGTGAACTGGGCCACCAAACTGGC